TATAAGAGCTTTTAGTGGTGTGTATGAGAGCATTTAGTAGTGTGTATTAGAGCTTTTCACTAGTGTGTATAAGAGCTTTCACTAGTGTGTATGAGAGCTTTACACTAGTGTTTGTGCAGGGTTTTCAGTATGTGGAAGAGTTTAATTTCAGTTGTGTGTACTGTGGTCCATTCTGATTTTTGTCCCTGGTGGCGCCCCGTAGTTTTCACTCACTCGTCCAGGTCAAAGTCAGTTTTCTCCAAAGACCCGAAAAACATGGCGGCCTGAAACAGAAAGAGTCCAGAGCGTTAGAACCGTCTCTCCCAGTGAGACCCGGGGATCCCGTCCCCGTTGCCATGGTTACCTGGCTGGACGTCCAGGTCTTTCTGTTCATCACGCTGATGTCGGCGTTCTCCCCCGGGAACGCCAGCAGGCGGGGGGGGATCTGCGTCGCCATGGCGTCCGGGACGTTCTGGACCACCTGGACCGGACTGGCGTCCACAGAAATGATCTGCCCACAAATAAAACACCTTCAGCTCCTCTAGGTCCACGTCCTAGCTTCAGATTCCTGCAGTTTCCCCCAAAACTCCAGGAAGGACCACTGATTTTTACTCCCCATTGAACAAGTTAAAGCTTTAGAGCTTTTAAAAAAGAGTTTCTGGTCTTTTGCTCCACATTTTATGTCGTTTGTACAAGTTGTTGGTCTGTTGCGCATCATTTTCTGGATTTTGTTTTAGCATTTTTGTTGTTTTGCTCATATTTTGCTTTACATTCTCCAAATTTTTTGTCCATTATTGACATTTTTTATGGGCTTCTGGTCAGTTTTTCCCTGTTTCTTGTATTTTTCTTCACGTTTAGTGTTGATTGTCTAAAGTTTGTGTCTCTTTTTGACCATTTTTTACCTGTTTCTTGACATTTTTTATGGGCTTCTGGTTAGTTTTTCCTTGTTTCTGGTCATTTTCTTTACATTTTGGGTTCATAGTCTAAAGTTTGTTTCTTTCTGACCATTTTTTTCCTGTTTCTTGTCTTTTGCTGGACCTTTTAGCAGTTGGAGAAGATGTAATATGCAACATCCCTCTGGGTTAAACGGTAAAAAAACGTGCTAAAAAACGCAATAATCTGAACGTATTGAATATTTAAATGATGAAAAGTGGATATTTTTGTTGTTTTGCTCATATTTTGCTTCACATTCTCCTAATTTTTTGTCCATTCTTGACATTTTTTATGGACTTCTGGTCAGTTTTTCCTTGTTTCTGCTCTTTTGCTTCACGTTTTGTGTTCATCGTCTAAAGTTTGTGTCTCTTTCTGACCATTTTTGTGTCCGACTGGCTGGTTTTGTACCTTTTTGACGAAGGTCTCCTGCAGGACGCTGGGCGCGGTCAGCATGTTGGACACGAAGGCGGGGCTCCGGGACACGTTGAGCAGCTCGGAGGCGGGGACCTCCTGCATGGCGGCGGCCGGGAGGCCGGCCACCAGCGAGCCCAGCGAGGCCAGGGCGGGCGCCCGGTCGGCCTGGAACCCGCCGGCCGTGATGACCCCCACGATGATGGAGGCCTGGCCCTGGCTCCAGCCGCTCACCGAGCTCAGCGTGGGCAGGGAGGTCAGCAGCACCGAGGGGGAGGCCGAGCCGATCTGGCCGTTGCTCAGACCCGAGCTGGCGTTGCCCAGAGACGCCAGCGTCTGGGCCGAAACCGTCCCGAGGTTCGACGCCAGGGCCGCGGACACCTGTCGGGAATAAAAGGGAATTAAAAATCATTTTTGTACTGTCAAACTGAAGAAAATCCACTTAAATGATAATAAATAAATATTTAAAACATAAAAAATAAATATTTAAATATGAAATAAATCATATACAATTTATATTATACATAAAAT